TCTTGGGCTTTCTGTCTCGGGCAGCGTGCCAGCGCGCACGCCTGCTGCTCGGTCTCGGGGCTTGGGGCCCCTCGCGTGCTGACCGATCACGGTCCTGTGCCCCCTCTGTTCGGGGGGGGCCCTTGCATTCTACCTTAATGCGATAACATCAACGTGATCGGCACGGACCCTGTCAGATGCAACTCCACGATGCACCTGATCTGTGACGCCCGGAGGAAGCGAGGCGTCGAGGTCCACGAGGTGGCCGAAGCATCCGACGTATTCACCGGCCTCGGCCGCCTGATAGACGGCTCCTCCGGGCGAGTGTTCTCGCGCCTTGAGCGCGCCGAGCGCTTGCGCCAGGCCTCGCTGTGGTTAGAGCAGCAGCCTCGAGTCACGGGCAGGGAGGTGGAGGGGCATGTTGGGCATTCCATTGATCACTTGATGTTCAAGAGGGAGCTGCTTTAGATTCTCAGGAGTTTATACGATTTCGTCAGGGATTGCTACTGCGTTCGCGCCCGTCTCTGGCCCTCAGCTGCCCGCGAAGTCGAGCAGCGCCGTCGCCCGTTGCCTCTGTCGGCGAACTTACGGCTTCAGTAGTCGCCGACTGTTCTCGCTCGCGATGCATGTCTGATTGGCGCGGCCGTTCGCCAGACAATTCTATCAGCAGATCTTGTCAAGAGCATCGGTTCAGTCAGCGACGGATGGAGATATCGCATGCTTTCGGCTATATCGGCACGCCGGTCTGCTCTTGGAGTTGGGGCGACAGAGGCGGAGGGGGCCTCGGAGGGCCCGCGCGACGTTTTCATCGATACCGAGACCGTCAAGGCCCCCATGCTCAACAGCGAGGACTTCGCCAAGGACCCACGGGAGCTCAACCCGCAGTTCATTGAGGTGCCCCGTGAGGCTCTGCAAGGCCCCGGGCGGAAGCAGGTCGTCTCGGCCAGGGGTCACGTCAAGGAAGCTATCGCGATCATCGAAGGGAAGCCTCCAACATGACGTCGCGGCACATCATGAGGGCCCAGGGCTCCTTTGGACTTCGTCACCATCGTTTCGGGGACAACCTGGGCACCGTGCTGGCGCTCGGCCGAGGGCGCTGATCATCTTGCCCCCTCTTGCTCTGCTGCCGCCGTGAGGCGGCCTACTCTGTTGCCGCTGCATCGCGGTTCGAGCACCGTTGGATACCTTCCGATTTGAAGCCTGCAGATGAAGGGTCGAGACGATGGGGCGCCAAGTCGGGAGGTGTTTCGCCTGCCTCGCGCGGTGGCCAGGCGCCCTTCCGACGGCCTCAATATTGTCCAGAGGGGCATCTTGAAGGGCAGGCTTGTCGTCGGGGCCATGATGGAGGAACAGTTTCCACATCGTTTCCTTGCCTCACGACCTTTCACAATCGTAACAGAGGACAGGCACGGTCTCCTGGAGTGGAACTCGGCGACGCCCGAGACCCAGGCCCACCACCGGGAGGCGCTCCACCAGGTCCAGGTGCCCGTCGACTTCCCCGCTCTGCCCCCGCCGACCGCTGCTCAGGCCGACCGAGCTCTGACGAACTACGCAGGCTACGCCTGGAGCACTGGGTTCGAGAGGGCCGTCGTCCGGAAGACGCACGCCGCGCGCACCTCGGCGCGCCCCGACTTTTCCCGGAGGGGATTGCTCCGCCCGCAGCTTTTCTGTCGGGCCCTCCTGGGCTGGAGCCTGGACCCAAGCCAGACTTGCCCTCTGAGGCCGTGCCAAGCCGTGGCGCTCGGGGCCCTCGGGATGGTCGCGCTGCCGGCGGCCCTGCAGGCGGCGCTGACGGTGGCGTCGCGGTTCGGGGCCTTCCTCGGGCCCGGCGAGGCCGCCTGGCGGAGCGAGCGAAACCGCTTCCACGCTGCAAACTCGTCGAGGGACTACAACCTCAACCTGCACCCCATCGCCAGTGGCGAGTTCAACCAGACCAGCCTCTCCCACGAGAGCCTCCTCCTCGCCTCTTTCGACGTGCCAGGGCTGGGTCCGCTGGAGGCTCGTTCCAGGTCGGGGGGCCCGCTCGACCCGCCGTTCGGGCTGACGGCCGTGCAGCTCGGTTTCCTCAGGTCTCTCGCGCTGGAGCTTCCCGGAGCCCCGACCACGCGCGGGCCTTGCCCGCTGCGCCATGGCGGGCCCGCGCACGACCGCCGCTTGCGCCACCGCGCCGCGGCGGAGATCAGGGCCCGCGGACGCTGGGCCAGCGACTACGCGATGAAGATGCACGACGCGCGCGCGCCCGGGCGCAGCAGGAGCTGGCGCCCCGCTCGGCCGACATCAGCCGCCGTGCCGCGGCGGCGCCCAGGAGGCTGCACGCCGAGCTCGAGCGGCTGGTAGCCCCACTCGCCCAGGCAAGGACGGCCCTTCCGTCTTCGGCTCTGCTGCCCGCTCGCGCTTCGAGCACGCGCCGCCGCGCACCTTCTTCAAAGGTGTGGCCGCCCGTGCACGGGCCAAGCCGGTCCTCGAGCTCATGCGCGGTGCCGCCAACTTGGCCAAGGCTGTCTATGCCGCAGGCTGGGCTGCAGAGGGCTAGGACTACGCCGATAATCTGGGGGCCGATCTGCTGGATGATGGGCCCATCGAGCTCCTGGCCAGGAGGATCTCTCGAAAGGATGTCGTTGGGGTTCACGTCGGCCTGGGCTGTCAGACGTGGTCTAGGGCTCGAAAGAATGACGGCCTGGGTCCGTCGCCGCTGAGAGATGATGTTCACGCGCGCGCTCCTGAGCACCTGGCGGCGGCGGACGCTGAGAAGGCTTCGGTCGCCAATCGCTTGTTAGCCAATGTTCTGCGTTTGCTAGTTGCCGCCATTGAAGCAGAAGTCCCCTTCTCGCTCGAGAATCCTCGGTCTTCTCGCCTGTGGCTCGTCCCCGAGCTGATGAATCTGGCCCACGCGGCGAAGGCCGAATGGGTTCAGGTTGACTATGGCCAGTACCATGTCCCTTGGAGGAAGTGGGCCACCTTTTCTGCTTTTCGGCTGGCTGCCAGCGCAGCCGCGCCTCCGCATTCGCACAGGTTCCCAAAAGAGATGCAACGTCACAGGTAACAGTCGCATTACGCTGAAAGGAAAAGATCATCCCGGCGTGCTCTGGACAGCGCGGGCGTGCCCGGACCCGCCAGCTTTCTGCAAGGTGCTTGCCGAGCTGGTAGTGGCCAAAGCCAAGACACTGTGAGGCAGTGGGTCGGGGCTCAGAGTCTTGTATCACGTTCGCTCTGTCTTGTAGGCCCGCGCGCACTGGCGCTGGCCCGCTCAACCCGACGCTCGCTCTCTTGAGTTGTCTCTCTACACAGGGACGTGCTTGAGAAAAAATGACCTTGGCAGGGGGAAGAACTCAGATCATGCGCGGCGCTAGCACGATAAAGATCTCTCGCTCGTTTGACTGCTGTATTTCGCAACTTGTGCTCAAGTGTTTTCTGGGACCCGCCAGCCGTCCCCATCTTCGTCCTGTCTGGGCGCCTCCTCGCCCCTTCCACGGGGTTCAGAATATTGTATCACGTTCGCTCTGTCTTGCAGGCCCGCGCGCACTGGCGCTGGCCCGCTCATCCCGACGCTCGCTCTCTTGAGTTGTCTCTATGCACAGGGACGTGCTTGAGAAAATGAACCTTGGCGGGGGGAATAACTCAGATCACACACGCACACACACATATATCTCTATATATACACATGTGTGTGTGTGTGTTTGTCTGTCCGTGTGCGCGTGTTTGAGAGCTGGGCAAAACCGCAAAGCGCCCCAGGACAGCCGTACGTCGAGATGGCCCCAAGACGCCCCAAGACAGCCGCACATTGAGATGGCCCCGAGACGCCCCAGGGCAGCCTTAGATTGAGATGGACCCCGAACGCCCCAAGACAGCCGCAAGGCCCCAAGACAGCCTTCAAGTAGCCAACCAACCAACCAGCCAGCGCGCGGGGTCTGGCAGTTTAGAGGCCGAAGGCCTCCAGGAGAGGACCACAGCGGGAAACGATTCCAAGCGACAGGACAATATCTCCAGCGACGGGAAACGATCCCAAGCAAGGGGACACGACCCAAAACAACGGGGAACGATCCAAAGCAACATTAGTTTGGCATGCGCAGTGGTGGATGCAGTCGTTGTATCGCCTTCGGTGGACCTCCTTATGGGACCGCGAAGCGCGTGAAGAGTCTGTCGAAATGGCGCGGGGCGGGGCTCCCTGTGAGGCCACGAAATGCGCGAGGAGCGTGCCAAACTGAGGCGGCGCCGCCATGCTGACTGCGCCACTGGGACCTTGGGTGGAGCTCCCGATGGGGCCACGAAACGTGTGAGTGGTGTGCAAATGTGGGGCGGCGCCGCCACGCGGACTGCGCCGCTGGGGCCTTAGGTGGGGTTCCCTATGGGGGGGGGGGGGGGCACGAAGCGTGTGATGGGCGTGGCAAAATGGGGCGCGCCGCAATGCGGACTGCACCATTGGGTCGTCAAGTGGAGCTCCTTATGGGCCACGAAGCGCGCAAGGGGCGTGCCGAAGTGAGAGGGGTGACGAGAAGAGGGAGGGGGGGAAGGGAGGATGCAACGGGAGGATGGAGAGGAGGAGGAGGAGGAGGAGGAGGAGGAGGAGGAGGAGGAGGAGGAGGAGGAACGCGGGGCGTTTTCTTTTTCAAACGAGGACCTCACACCACAGGATGATTGGGAACAAACACCAGCCTAGATCTCCAGGACAGCGTCGTTCTTTCGAAATCCTCGCACCACTGCAGGATATCAAAGGTGCGCTCGCACCACCGCAGGATACCAAAGGTGCGCACTCCGCAACACCTCTGGGCAAGCAGGGTGCGCTCGAGAGTTAGTGGCAACCCGCCCAATTTTACAATGCAAACTTACATCGCGCCGTCGACTGCCTCATCACCGCTCCCCTTCCGTCCTTCAGTTGCCATCGCTCAGTCTAGTCAGCTGGTTGGGCAACGCAGACAGACTGTCTGGGCAGCGCGAAAAAAACCTCGCACGCAGGAGCCCCCGTGGAATGCTGCATGGACGTCAGGCGCGTCGACCTGCTCCAGGGCCACATGCCCGCGAGATCAGGCGTGGAGCGCCTTGAACTTCGAGCCCGAAGAAGACGAAGAAGACGCGTTGCCCTCGGCGTGGTGCTTGTGGATGGCCGCCAGCTCGTTGTAGTATTCGACCAGCTGGCGGTACGGCTGGGCGGCCGCCTGCAAGGCAGCCGCGACCTCCTGCTTGGTGGCACCCTTCTTGGCCAACCATCAGGAGCCTCTCGACCTGGCTGGGAAGCACGTGCCTGCAGACCTGGACGCCGCGGCGTGCCATGTCGCTGCCTGCCGCGGTGATGCTGTTTTTGCAGAGCTCGACAGCAACCCTGTTCCTGGCGCTGGTCACCTGCGTCACCGAGTCGAAGCTCCCCTGGAGGATTTTGATGTCGTGATTGTCGGCCTTGTCAGTCAAATTTCGGGGGATTGCCGCGGGGCCCTTTCAGGGCAAGAAGCCATTTCTCCTTCGACGAACACTGGACCTGCACCAAGTCGGCGAGGGCGGCACGGAAAGCATCGTCCGACTTCGCGTCATGGATTTTCAAGCCGTGGACCCTCTGCGACTCCACGTCCGAGACGGTCAATTTCTTCGAGCAAGTGTACCACATCCCGTCCACCTCCGACTCGTAGACCTCCTTCGCGTCCACTGCCTTCTGGAAGAGGCTCTCGTTCCCCGCGGAGCACCTGCCGATCATGGTATGCTTCTGCATGCCCAGGACGGTGTCCTCCTTGCCCTTGGAAGTGGTTCTCTCTGTCAGCATCTCGATGGTCCTTGATTTAATGTCTAACTCGCTTTTGTACGTGACGCTGCGGCTGACGTAGGTGTTCGCGATCTTGGCCCGCTCCTTCATCTTGCCAGGGGGCTCGCAGTCCTTGCTACCCAGCCCTTGGTATCGTTTCCAGTCCTTCTCAGCAGTGTCTGCCTGGTGCGTCTCGATCGCGTACCTCTGGGCCCTCGAGGTCTGGCGGTCGTCAGGGACGCCGTCGTCCTCCGACTTGGCGTCGTCGCCCACGTTGGTGCTCTTGACGGACTTGACGGGAACGGCTGCGAGGTCCGAGTCGTGCCACTTCGAAGCGTTTTCGGCGGCAGGCTTATTCGGGATATGTTTCTTGGTCTCAGCCTTCACCGCCCTCTGCTTCTTCGGGTCCTTTTTCGGCCCCATCCCGAATCGACAGCAATGTAATACTTGATGTACTCGAAGGCTCGAGGGAAGAAATCGCAATGCTGCAACGTCGACGCCTGTTTGCACCAGGATTGCTAAGAGGGAGACCAGGCGAGAGGACAGGGGGGTGGCACATTACAATTTCAACCGAGTTCCAAATGCCCAGGGGGGTCCAACGTAAGGGGCCCAGGGGCCCGGGGCCCTCACGAGTGGCCTAGGGGGATCCAGCGTCGGGGCCCAGGGGGGTCCAACGTAAGGAAATGAAACTCAACTTCGTATATGTTTTTGCGTCGGGAAGAGACCCCGCTGCGGGCCCAACAGGGTTCTGGTTGCTTGGGTCATTGGTTTCGGAGCCCACTGGAGCCGCACTGTCCAGATTGTTTTAAATATGTTTCAATGCGGGCCTCCTGGGTCCCAGTGGAGGAGGGCACTAACGGTCCCATGATTGCCCCCTGAAAGCTTAACTTGGGCACAATGCTAAATCTCACAATTGAAGACGCCAACAAGGAGGCAGACGCGACGTGCTCCCACAGTGCCTGCCACAGAATCGGGCCCGCGTGCAAAAGCGCCAGAGCTGAGACCATGACTGACATGTTTTGTATGTTGCGTATGCCTGCGTACGTATGTGTATGTTTGTTTGTCATGTGTATGTGCATGTGTGTGAACGTGTTATGTCTATATGTATGTGTTTTTGTATGTGCATTGTTTACGTTGCATGTGCATGTTTATGCGCATGTGTGCGTGGACGCATGTACTATGAAATGTCAGACGTAGTGGTATCTACTTCATGCGATCCCGCATGTCTAAACACTTCTGCTTTGTCATGCCGCTCTGGATTGCATCGTGCACCTTGCGCATGTCTGAGACAAGCGACTCGCCCCAAATCCTAACTTTAGCAGTCCACACGCATACCCTCTTCAAACTGCCATCCGTCTGGGACTTCCGCGCCGTGAGTTCACGGCGCGAGTCTTTCTCAGCAGTGGGCCCCGACATGTTCGGGCGGCACAGGGTCCCAGCGCGCGGCGTAGCCGTCTTATTCTCCACGACCTTCGGGGCTGCCTTCCCAGGAGTGGCCTTCGCAGGGGTCACCTTCAGCTCGGTCGGATGCTTGGCTTTGTTCTTCTTCGTGGCCTGAGGGGTGACCTTCTCGGTCTTCTGCGTGCGAGGAGGGCAGCCTTCCGACGCTTCGCACGGGGTTCAGGGCATGATCCGGCTCGATGCCGTTGTTGTCAGGCTCGCCAATTTTCTGAGCGTCGCCGACGTCGCTGTCCGACTCAAGCTTCTTGCCGCGGGGGTCAGGGTCACCGAGGGTCGGGAAGCGGTCGTCGTCATGCACTCGAGTGTTGGGCAGCGACACCGCACCGACGGATGACGCCCGTCTGCGGGCAGGCCGACTGGCCAACTCCAGACGCGAGAGGATGCCAGCATTCTTCATGAAAATCAACGGGGAACCATTTTCGTCGACTTCCGTAGCCTGGGGCAGGTCGATCTTGGGAATTGTGATGTCACCTTCCTTCTCGTCGTCACAAGCGCCGCGTGGCGATGGCGACGGGCTGGGAACAGGAGACGGTGACGGCGCTGGGTCAACCTCCATCAACTCCAACAGTTGTTTGACTATGACAGCTTCTGCCACACCGCATGCCCGTCTGGAGCCTCCCACCTTGGACCGCTTGTGGCCGTTCCGAGGATGTTCTGAATCTTCACGCTTCACATCTCGGATAATCGCAAGAACGTGCTTGACGGGTTCAGTTACATTGTGGATGTAAACAGACGGGTTGAAGTGAGGCGGGAGCGTTGTGCACGACATCTTCAAGGCGTGCTCCAGTCTGTTAGGGAATACTACACCATTTCGAACGCCTCCCTTGAACAAGTTCTCCAGCAGGGGGCTCTCACGCACAACCATAGTGGGCGTGACCTGATGAATGCCATACGCAAGCATAGGCCCTAGGACATCAGCAATTGTACTGTCGTGACAAAGCGCCTTCGCGCAATACATGTAATCCTTATCTGAAACGTCGGGGTTGGCCAGTCGGCCTCTTCCTCCTGGTAGAAGTCATGGCTTCTCGGAACAAAACAGCTGCATGGGAAGAGGAGGGGCGATGATGGGGAGGACATGGGCCCTCGGTTATCTGCTGGCTGGGCTCTTTGCCAGGATCCACGCACATGGCCGTACCAGGGAACACGAGCCGAGAGTGAGAGAGAGAGAGAGCGAGAGGAGGACGGAGGGCAGAGGTTGGAAATATTGAGACCTAAACGCACATACTCATCCCCCTGTTTTTTTTCATTGTTTGCCACGAAAACGCAGACAGGAAGAGAGAGAGAGAGAGAGAGACTATGGGCGAGACCCTATGGGTGAGACCCCATGGGCGACACCCTATGGGCGAGGCCCTATGGGCTTGAGACCCTATGAGTGAGACCCTATGGGTTAGAGACCCTATGGGCGAGACCCCATGGGTGGGACCCTATGGGTGAGAGCCCATGGGCGACACCATATGGGCGAGGCCCTATGGGCTTGAGACCCTATGAGTGAGACCCTATGGGTTAGAGACCCTATGGGCGAGACCCCATGGGTGGGACCCTATGGGTGAGACCCGATGGGTGAGAACCTATGCGGTCCAGTGCCTTCAGAATTCCAGAGTCTGCTAAGGGTGCTTCGTCGTCTGGACATGTTCAGTGGGCGTTCCGAATTAAGGTAACCAGCCGCGTTGGTAGATTTTGGGTAGATGTGAACAGTTACCAAACATCTACCAACAATCTACCAAACAATTGAAGTGCAATACCCATGTATTCTATTGATCCTGCCCTCAGATATTCATTGAATCCTGAAGGAAACACATATCTTGTTTAAGCACAGGCCCATAGAAACAGATCCTTAACTTATCTTTCGAATTCTGAGGGCACCCGATGGTCAGGGGTGGGGGGCCCCAAGAGCAGAGGTTCCGTGGGTGGGGGTGCCGCGGGGTGGGGATGCTGAGGCGAGGAGGGGGGCGTCGGTCCCGTGGGCGGGGGTGCCGTGGCCAGGAGGGGGGCGTTGGTCGGTTTGGGTCGAGAAATTGTCCGGTGGGTGGTCCCAAGACCAGAGGTTCCGTGTGTGGGGGTGCCGTGGCCAGGAGGAGGGCGTTGGTCGGTTTTGGGCGAGAATTTGTGCGCTGGGGGGTCCCAAGAACAGAGGTTCCGTGGGCGGGGGTGCCGTGGCCAGGAGGGGGGCGTTGGTCGGTTTGGGGCGAGACTTTGTGCGGTGGGGGTCCCAAAAACAGAGGTTCTGTGGTTGGGGGTGCCGTGGGGTGGGGATGCCGAGGCGAAGAGCGGGGCGTCGGTCGGTTCCGGGCGCGAAATAGGGGGGGGGGGAGCGTTCCAAGAGAGAGCTCCCGAGGGGTGGGAATGCCGAGGCGAGGAGGGGTTTGAGCGGAGGCGAGGAGGGACTTGCGTGGGCAAGATGCCGAGGCATGGTAAGGGGTGAGTGCACACAAGGATTCCGCAAACGCCTCTGGGGTCGGCGGATAATAAGAGGAGGAGGAGGAGGAGGAGGAGGAGGAGGAGGAGGTGGAGGAGGAAAGGGCAAGCGGGAGCAGGAAACTATAGTGTCGGAGTGGCCGCCGCGGCACGATTTGGTACTGGCTCACTGTGCCCGCAGCCGTTCGCCTTGTCTTTGCTACAGTGGCGTGTTAGCAAATTCCATGCGAAATGTGTTGTTCAGGGCCCGCCTGCGGAGATAATTTGAAGACTGGGGACGAAACAATACCAAAAGACGTGTGCAAGCATAGCGTGGTTGCGGCGCCTTCCTATGCGTTGTTGGCTGGGGTGGCGGCGATGACGTCTCGGCCGACACAACGCCACAGGTGCCCAGGAGTACGCGCAGTTCTTAGGCCTCTCGGTGCAGGACGCTTCGGCCTGCGGCGCGAACGACGGGTGCCCACCCCTTCGATCGCGCAGTATGATGGGGTGTCACAATTATTTTTGGTGCTGGTGGGGGACACGGGCGCGCAGCAGGCAATATGAGAGCTCCCCCACCGACCCTGTCAACAACAAAGGCAGAACTTTCGCGACACGCCAGTGCATGATTCAGATTTCGGTGCGAAGTATTTGTTGCATGAGGTTCGACAGGAATGGTGGGTCTGCACAAAGCCAGCAATATGCACGCACCCCTGCCGTCCCTGTCCAATACCAGTGCAAAAGGATCGCGGGGCGCCCATGGTTTTTTTGAGGGAGTTTCTGTGGAACTCACGTCATCCTCACCCCCGGCGCGAAGAGCACGAGTCCAGAGCGGCCTCCGGCACCGTTTCCGGACAGATCCGGTGGATCCGCTGGATCCGCTGGATCCGGTGACGAATCCCAAACCGGCGCCCTCGCTTGAGACATCCTCACAAAACCGGCCCCGGGGGAGGTGCCCAGAGGAGCCCAGAGCGGCCTCCGGCACCGTTTCCGGACAGATCCGGTGGATCCGCTGGATCCGCTGGATCCGGTGACGAATCCCAAACCGGCGCCCTCGCTTGAGACATCCTCACAAAACCGGCCCCGGGGGAGGTGCCCAGAGGAGCCCAGAGCGGCCTCCGGCACCGTTTCCGGACAGATCCGGTGGATCCGCTGGATCCGCTGGATCCGGTGACGAATCCCAAACCGGCGCCCTCGCTTGAGACATCCTCACAAAACCGGCCCCGGGGGAGGTGCCCAGAGGAGCCCAGAGCGGCCTCCGGCACCGTTTCCGGACTCCGCCGCTGGATCCGCTGGATCCGGTGACGAATCCCAAACCGGCGCCCTCGCTTGAGACATCCTCACAAAACCGGCCCCGGGGGAGGTGCCCAGAGGAGCCCAGAGCGGCCTCCGGCACCGTTTCCGGACAGATCCGGTGGATCCGCTGGATCCGCTGGATCCGGTGACGAATCCCAAACCGGCGCCCTCGCTTGAGACATCCTCACAAAACCGGCCCCGGGGGAGGTGCCCAGAGGAGCCCAGAGCGGCCTCCGGCACCGTTTCCGGACAGATCCGGTGGATCCGCTGGA